TTTAACATTTTTGGAGCATGTATGCATGGTTTTTATGGATAGAAAGTAAGTTTTGTCAGTACATGCACAGTTGGACAAAAGAGTCAGTCTATCTCATACTCTGACACACATACCGCCACTAGTACCCTAAATGCCATTACCCTACGCTTACAGGTACCCCCGTTCAATGTCAGATACACCTACAGTGCTATCACCGACCTCACCAACCTTTCCAAACTGCAGGACCAATGGCATCACTCTAGCTTACCGACATCCAAAACCCTTATAGAACAAATGGAAGCAAGAATGGAAGCTAAAATGAATGAGGCATTGGTTGCCCAAAGAATTGCTCTATTAGCTGAACTAGGCGGTAGTAATGGAAATGAGGCTCCAGTTGGGGGAAATGATAATGCTGCCTCCAATCAAGGACTGGTGCTGCATCTGCATCCTCAAACCCTATCCCTAACTTGGAGGACACGCCCTCCAAAACCGCTTCTGAGTTAGAAGCTCAGAAAATAAGAGAAAAACTTGAATTGTTGGAAAGGTCTGTTACTGCCCTTAAAACACACAAAGAAGTGGTGGACATGGACTCCTTGTCTCTGTTCCCCGAAGCAAGACTACCGACGAAATTCAAAATGCCCAACATGGACAAGTTTGATGGAACCACTTGTCCCAAAACGCACCTGAAAATGTATGTAGGTGCCCTAAACCCGTTCGGACTGTGCCCTTAACCCATTTGGATTGAACAGCGAGCTCCTTGCTCAGTTGTTCCAACAGTCACTCACCGGCGCTGCTCTGAGATGGTTTGTCAGTTTGGACCGATCTAAAATGAAAACTTGGAGATATATGTAATGCATTTAATTCACAGTATCGCTATAACATGGAGGTGGATGTTACCCGAAGAGAGCTAGAAACCACTAAACAAAAGAACAATGAGCCCTTCTCCTCGTTCCTTACAAGGTGGAGAGCCAAAGCTGCTCAAATGATCAACCGATCCTCTGAACAGGAACAAGTTGACATAAGAAAGCCAAGTTGACATAATAATCAAAATTTAACTGCCTATCTACCAGTCTCAGCTTTCAAACAACAATACCTTACCAAACCCAACGTTTCAGTCGCTCATTGCCACTGCTACGAAGGTAGAGGATTTACTTCAAATGGGGCAACTGAAGGAAGACTCAGGAACCTCAAAATACAAAAAACCTAGCCAGCCCGGGAAAGTCCACGAAGTGGCGAGTATCACCCCTAGGAATCCTTTACGTGTGGGAAATATGGGAAACATAAGAAATGGCGGCCCGTCAAGAAGAACATATACTGATCTCGGCATGCCAATCATTTTGGTATTCCGAGAGGCTGTCAAAGCAAACTACATCAAGCCTTTGGAAGCAAGGCCACCACCCAACCCCTTACCAAGGAACTACCGAGCCTAAACCCTTAACCCACGAGAATTTTCAAACCAATGAATACTGTGAGTACACCAAGCGTATGGGCATAAGACTGAGGCATGTTTTGGACTCTTAAGAACCGCATCCAGGACTTGGTAGACAATGGCTCAATTATTCCGAGAAGCAAACGCGAAACATTAGCACTAGCAAACCGAACATTAGCACTAATCCCTTACCAAATCACGGGGTAAATGCTATTACTTCTGACCAGGAATTGATCGATCCTTTCGAGCTATTCCTGGGAATGAACGAAATCTGTGTCCTAGACCTAAATGACCTGACTGAGGAACTAGACGCTATAACCAGGAGTGGGAGACAATATGAACCATTAGTCTTGGACAAAGTCCCGAATAACCCCTACCAAAGGGCGGATGAACTAAAAGAAGACCCAGTACTTTCACAGCTAAAGAAGACACAAGCTAGGGTATCGATCTGGGAACTTCTAGCAGCATCTTTTCCTCATCGCCAAGCTCTTTGCAAGGCTTTGAGTCAGCTTCAAACGCCGGTGGAGGTTAGCCCCGAAGTGCTAGTATCCACCCTCACTCAATCCTCGAAAACTCAAAACATCGGGTTTTCGGATGATGACTTACCCACTGGAGGAGATAGTCACAATAATGCCCTCTATATCATGGTTCAGACTAGAGACAAAACTGTGCCCATGGTTCTCATTGATAATGGGTCAGCATTAAATGTCTGTCCATTAAGAGTAGCCAGCTGTCTGGGTTTGGAAGAAACAGATTTCATGCCATCTGACCAGATAGTGAAAGTCTGACCAGATAGTGAAAGCATATGACAGCACCCGAAGGGAGGTATTGGGGGTTGCTACACTAAAATTGGCAATCGGGCCAGCCATAATGGAGGTACCATTTCAGGTGATTGACGTGCCCACCAGTTTCAACCTGCTTTTGGGACGACCATGGATACACCGTACCAAAGCAGTACCCTCCTCTTTACACCAAAAGGTCAAATTCCCTTATGAGGGTAAAATCATAACGGTTCAAGGAGATGATTACAGCCAGCTTAAAAAGCCAAAGGGCCAGCCTCTTCTTTGAGGTCAACCCCGAAAGCGCCTACTTTCCCCTCTCGGGATTTTCAGTATGATACTGTGCAATTTATAGAAGGAAAAACCACAAACTCCTGAATTCTCTTTGATTTTGGGACAGTGCAAATAAATTGCATAGTACCTTTAATGCTGAAGATGTCTTACCTGCAGGGAATGGCTATGGCGAGGTCCGGAACAACATACCCTGCACTGCAAGCCTGGGAATGCCCAGTAAATAAAGGAACTTTTGGGCTGGGATATGAGCCCACTGAGCTGAGGAAGACCAAGCTAGGAGCTCTTCCTAAGGAACAGAGGCAGAACAATGCAGATGCCCATCACAACTTTTTTAACTTTGATAGTCACTTTCCGCAAATCCGGAGATGACAATTCCTTAATCACGGTTTCCAAAGAACCATTTTTTTACCTGCCGAGACCGCCAAGAAAGTGCTTACCTGGATTAGAGAATATTTGCTGATGTCTGGGGTAACAAGTCTGAGGCATAGCTGAGCTGGAAGTAGAAGACTTCATGCTGCCAAGGTCTCTTGAATGAGGTTGGCAGTCCATTACGGGAAAGAAAGAAAATTCAGACCTGCTTGAGTTTTTAATCAAGCCAAATGAAGGGCGCTCTTTGTCAACTGGTTATGTCGAGGAGGAGCGCGCTGCTGAAATAAACCCCCTCCCGAGTCAAACTAAGAGTCAAAGTCTGTAATCAAGTCCTGTACTGAGTCTGAGTCTGACCCCGAGTCTGAAACCGAGTCAGAGTCCAGTTCCAGTCCTGAGTCGTTTGTGTCGGATTTAGAAAATCCAGACTTCAATTTTGATGTAATTTTTTAGGACGATTCCGTCCTAATCAATAAGAGCTTCCAAATTATTGGCTACCCCGAGTGTCTATCTTTCCAAGCATTTCCAAGCAAAAATTATGAAAATCAAATAAATGAAATAAAAAATGAAAAAGGAAAAATAATAATTGGCAAAGAAGAAAATGAACATACATGAACAATACATACAATTGCTCTAACTTGTGTGAAACAAGGGAAACAGATCAGTGAATGCCTTAAGAAGTTTGCCGATTGCTTCATGTGGGAAGGCAGTTGACATCACGGGAATTGACAACAGCAATAGCGGTGCACAAGATTCCAGTTTATCCCGGGGTTAAGCCAGTGAAGCCAGAAGCCTAAGGAGGTCTGAAGACCAGAATGGTCCTTGAAAATCAAGGGAGGAAGTTGCCAAGCAACTAGAAAACAAGTTCATAGAACCCATTGCCTACCCGACAATGGTTTAGCAAACATTGTGCCCGGTGCCGAAGAAAGATGGCAAGTCAGAAATGTGTGTGGACTTATCGGGATTTAAATTAAGGCATGTCCCGAAGGAACGACTTCCCCCTGCCGCATATTGACTTTGTTAGTGGACGAATGGCGGGAACGAGATGGGACACGAGATGGTCTCCTTGACCGATCTTGCTGTCGGATACAACCAAATAATGATGCATGCACCAGACAAAGAGAAAATGGCATTCATCACGGAATGGGGAACTTATTGTTATAGAGTTATGCCTTTTGGGCTCAAAAATGCGGGGGCAACCTACCAAAGAATGGCAACAGCCGTTTTCCATGACATGATTCATGAAGAAGTAGAAGTGTACGTGGATGATATGGTTATTAAATCAAAAACAGCTGAAGAGCATACAATAGCACTTGAGAAGTTCTTCCTTAGACTTCGAAAGTATAATTTGAAGCTTAACCCAGCAAAGTGTCTGTTCGATGTCTGTTTGGAGCTACATCCGGAGTATTTCTGGGGCATATGGTTAGCTGGAAAGGCATAGAAATTGACCCTTCAAAAGCCAAAGCCATTTTGGAAATGCCAGCACCGCAGACGGAAAAGGAAGTTCGGGGTTTCCTGGGAAGGCTACAGTACATCAGCTGGTTCATTAATCAATTGGCCGACACTTGTGGTCCGATCTTCAAATTACTCAGGAAAGGGGTATCCGTCAAATGGAACGAAGATTGTCAGAAAGCCTTTAATCAGGTCAAACAGTATCGACCAAGTCAAGCAAATATCTGTTGTCCCGCCAGTTTTACAGCCACCGAAGGCTTGGGAAAGCCTTTGCCTGTTGTTACTATTCGGTGGACAGAAGAAGCGATGGGTGCCAATGCTAGCTCAACAAGCAGAAGATACAAGGGTAGAAAATGCCGTGTAAGAAGATACAAGGGTAGAAAATGCCGTGTATTATCTCAGCAAACGGATGCTAGACTACGAGCTAAAATACAATAAGATAAAGAAGTTGTGTTTGGCTCTAGTATGGGCGTGTACAAAGCTACAGCACTATCTCTTGTCCTACACCACCTACGTTATTTCTGAATCGAACCCCATGAAATTCCTTATGGAGAGGCCGGTTCTTGACTGTAAGATGGCTAAGTGGGTGTCAGTGCTCATAGCTTATGATTTGAAATTTGTACAATGGAAGGCAGTGAAAGGCGGAGCCTTGGCCGATCAATTAGCAGAATTACCGGTCGAAGACCAAATGCCGGGATCAAATGCCGGAGGTAGAATTTCCCGATGAAGATGTGGTGAACCTGGAAAGTGAAGTCTGGGAAATGTACTTCGATGGAGCTTCAAACTACCATGGAAATGGGGATGGAGTCGTATTCAAAACCCCCTGTGGAGAATACGTCCCAATCGCAGTCAAGTTAGATTTCGACTGCACTAACAATGAAGCCGAATACGAAGCCTGCATAAAGGGGTTAGAAGCAGCCCTGAAAAAAGAGATAAAGGTCCTCAAGGTTTTCGGAGATTCTAATTTAATAGTCTCCCAAGCTTTAAGGAAATGGAAAATTAAAGAAGAGCGTTTGGTTCCTTACCTACGACGCTTGGACGAATTGGCTCAGCAATTTGAGGATTTATCCTTCCACTTGCCGCGAGCCAAAAATCAGTTCGCAGATGCTTTGACTACTTTAGCCTCCATGGTCGATGTAGAAGGAGATCGAGCCATCCGACCTTTGACGGTGCGGCTACAGAAACATCCAGCACATATCATGAATTTGGTTGATAACAAGCCCTGGTACTGGGATATACAGAATTATCTTCAGAATGAAGCTTATCCGGAGGGATCCACCAAGACTGATCAAAGACTGATCAATGAACATTGAGACAGTTAGCATCTGGATATTTCCTTATTGGGGGAGTTCTATATAGGAAAAGTTGGAATGGCCTGCACCTAAGGTGCGTTGACGAGGAAGAAGCTCAAAGCATCATGGATTCTTTACACAATGGAGAGTCACGGGGAATCTTGGCCCAACAGACGGGATAGCCTTTTGGCTCGAAAAATTCATGAACCTAGGTTATTACTAGTCACCATGAAGGGCAGATTGGGCGTTGAGGCACGCGCAGAAGTGTCCCACGAATGTGTCCAATTTTTGCTAAGCTCAAAAGACAACCTCCGGTCCAAGTCAATTTGAATCCCATTGCTTCACCTTGGCCCTTCGCAACTTGGGGCATAGATGTGATCGGAAAGATCCACCCAAAGGCTTCCAATGGTCATCATTTCATCCTGGTTGCTATAGATTACTTCACTAAGTGGATCGAGGCAGCCTCTTATTCGGTTTTGAATGCCAAGAAGGCATCACGGTTCATTCGTACTAACATCCTTTGTCGGTACAGAACGCCATTCGAGATCATCACTGATAATGGGTCCCACTTTCAGAGTGAATTTTCGAATTACATCATAAGTCCTCACCCTATTGTCCACAAACAAATGGGGCTGTAGAGGCTGCAAATAAGGCTATAAAAGTCATTTTGCAGAAGACAGTTAAAAAGAAAAGTTATTTTGCAAAAGACAATTAAAAAGCACAAAGCTTGGCATGAACAGTTACCGAATGCCTTATGGGGATATCGGACTTCAATTAGAACACCTACTGGGGCAACCCCGTATTCCTTAGTATATGGCATGGAAGCAGTATTGCCTATTGAGTTAGAAGTTCAGTCGGCGAGGGTTATCCGGGAAAGCCAGATCAGTGAAGCAAATTGGGCTGAGAATTATCATTTGCAGCTCTTGGGTATGGATGAAAAGCACTCTTGGGCATGGACGAAAAGCGGTTACATAGCAATCCACCAAACTGCGAGTCTAACCAAAGGAGAATGGCACGACAAATTTTAACAAGAAAGGTCCCAAAGACCGAAAACTGGAAGAAGGTTGTTTAAGTCCTGAAGGAAATTAGGCAAGCCAATTCAAGATCCAGCGTGGGAAGTTTCTCCTCATTGGGCTGGCCCTATTGTGTTGAAAGAAATGTATTGTTCCGGCGGAGCAGTCCATTTTTAACGTGATTTGAAATCATGCAAACATGCTCCAAAAATAGTAAATAAAATATTAACTATGCATAGTAATTTTTCCGGACTAAAATAATACCAAGTCCCGGACCGATGGTACAATTCACAGACCGGTAAATCACTATTACCGACACTAAAAGAAAATCAGTCTGTTACACTCATTGGGCACGGTCTAAACATTAATAAAAAAAAAATCATCATTTCATCATTCTTTCTTCTTTGCCAACGAAAAAAAAAAAAGAGAAACAAAGAAAAACCCGCTAAGTCGAAAATCCAAAAAGGGCGGCTTAGGCAAAAGTCGGGAAAACCCGCTGAGTCGAAATAACCCGAAAGGGCCGGCTTAGGCAAAAATGGGCAGCTTAGGCAAAAATGGGTAGCTCGCCAAGTTGAAAACCCGAAAGGGCGGCTTAGGCAAAAATTAGAGCTTAAAGGAATAAAGTTGGAACATGCTTGGAAAGCTTAAAAGTCAAACAACACTCCAATAAAAAAATAAAGCCAAACAGTACAAGCAGAAAGCCAAAAAATATATATATATATATATAAAATCCATGAAACAAAATACATCCAAAACCAAAGAATAAAGCCTATCGGAGTCTAGGTGGCCCGTCGCCTCCGTGGGGCAACGTCCTCCGAGTCATCCCTAGCTGTTGAACTCTCTCCAGCCTCGCCTGTCCAAGGAGTCAACACAAAAACACAATCTCCCCTCATCAATCCTAACCCCCCCACCAGTGTCAGCCCTGAGTCCAACCCTCAAGTGCACTCAGCAAGTGCATTCCTCCTCAGCTTTAACCCGGCCAGACAAGCATTCACGAACCAGGCCCGATAACTCAGGAGAAGTCTGAATACGCAGCAGGATTAGGTAAAGGCCTAACGCATCTGATGATCTCTAACCCAAGCTCTAAGACAGCTCGGGTAACCTCCCGGAGTGAATGGTGGAATCAGCTCGGGAAATCATCCATGGTCGGAACAAGTCTGATCTATTTCCCATCTGCCTTCATAAACGCGGAAGCGCAGTACCAGTAGCAATGGGGTAGCCTAAAAAGGGTAAACCTGAGTATGGTGAGAGCTGACTTTGAATAAAGCGGGTAATGCCTGTACCAAGGAACCACAGCACTTCATTCGGACCCAACTCAATCAGCCATGAGGTCCAGGCATCAACAGACGGATGTGTGATCAAGATCCTCCGCATGCGATACTGGACAGGTTTATAAGGCAGCAAAGTAGGAGTGGCAACCACTCGGAGATGGTACTTCAACCAAACCTGAGTAACGGATCCTTTCTATTACAAAGAGACAGCCCAAAAGAAAAAGAAAATATATCTATAATATAGAAAAAGAAGAAATACCTGAAGAATAATAGGAGAAACCGTCCAATCCTCAAAGCCTAAAGCGGCTCTGTCGAGACTCCTGATGGTTTCTGCCAGCACAATGCCAGCACAATACCACCTATGCAACCCATATCCTCCATCTGCGCCGAACCATGGGACAAAGTCGCAAATGCTCCGTAGCCCGATCCTTGTTGAAACAGAAAGCCGCCAAATAAACAAAACCAAAGGGCCCGGCATCCTTAGCCCTCATCCGGTCTGGGTCATCTGAACAGACCCCTGAAAACGTCATCAATCAGGGGCAACAAACTGCTTTCTGATCACCCAACAATCATTGGCCTAGCTTGCGGTCGGACTGAACTGAAAAGCAGGTTTTCAAAAGCGACCGAACAATACCCCGATCTTGACTTCAATGCCGGACCAAAAGGGGCATTAGGGTCGCACGCCTATGATAGCACAGAACCTAAAAAGAGGACACATCTCCTCCATCATGGCTCCAAACCGGAACACATGGGCCTCAGGGTCCCAAAGTCTGATGCAGGCCCATAAAAGTTCCAGTCGATTACTACCCCCCTGAGGGTAACGATAGGAGAGAGACCGTACCTCCCCAAGTTGATCTTTTCGACCTTGGAGAGACTCTTAATCCAGCTGTGCATGCTGTGAGTAAAAAAGGGATTCATTCTTTGAAATTAAGAAAAAGAAGAGAGAAAAGAAAGGATGAGTGAAGAACCAAACAAAAAAACTAGTTTTTATAGAAAAATGCGCCGAACGACGGCAGCAGCAGCCGCCGAATTAAGAACAAGCTTTTATAGGAGAAGATGCACTGAATGAAGGCGGCAGCAGCCGCCGAATTGCCACCGAATGACGGCGGCAGTGGCCGCCAAATTGCCACTAAATGATGGCGGTAGCGACCGCCGCGCAAAAAAAAAAAAAAAATGGGTCCTCTTCAATTTTAAAAGAAAAAAAAGAGAGATGTTTTGTTGAAGCAAAATCCTTTTTCATAGGCGTGCATACATATTTTTTCATTACTAACCAAGTACAGGTACAAATAAAGTTCAGTACAGGAACATAGCCAAAGTTCAGAAATACGGCCGAGTTTCGGTATAGAAAATACAACAAAAAAAAAGAAACAATAAAGGAAAGCAGAAAATCTAGCATCTATTAGTGGCGGGGCCTCCTACTCCTCTGATCATCGAAGGCCCGTAGAGTCCAGGCTGAAGTTAGCTGTTGCATCCCAAGCATCAATTCCATCATCTGATTGATCAATCCAACAGGAACCTATAAAAAAAAAAATGCAAATGAACGTCAAATCTCTTTATGAATCGTTTTTGTGAGAGATTTAGCAGTTTTTACTTACCTCAGTAATGTCCTCAGAAGGCAGAGATTTAGCAGTTTTTACTTACCTCGGTAATGTCCTCAGAAGGCAGAGCCAAGCGATCCACATTGTTCAGCGAGACTTCTCGAAAGGCTAAAGGAGCATCAAGAGTATGGTAGGAAATGCTGTACGGAAGACGTAAATTGGCCAAGTCTGAATGAAGTGACCCGGTAGCCTCTGTCACCGCCCGGGGAGCCCTGGAATGGCCGGCCGAGTGACTAGGGCCGGCTTGAGATGAACCTTGAGCCCGAGTAGAAGAAGACGGATCAGTCGTAGGCCTCCTCTTTGGAGTCCTACTCGAAGAACCAGCGGCCCGAGAAGAGCGGGTAGCGGGCGGATGGGTAGCGGCGGGTGGAAAGAAGCCTGATCCTCTGAAAACTATCAAGCCGCGATCCCAATAGGCTGCATCAGAAAGCGTCTGCAGAACTCAGCAATTTAATCCCCCTCCCAGATGAACTCTCCATAACGGACTTAACCCTCAAGTATGCCCGCATCAGTGAGAGTCATCTGCCTGCCCGTTTGCATGTCGGGGGAGGAATAAGGGATGTGAACGACAGCACAGCCTCTTATTTGAAAGTCTACTCTCTCGCCCAAGTAGTATCGTCTCAGGACGGGATGCGACAGGATCACCCTCCGCCGAGACAAGTCATCTGATCGCTGGAAATGAGGATCAACCTGGATCCAGCTCTGTAGGCGAATGGCCATCGCCCCCACTTCAACCTAAAAAAATAAATAAAAAAAAAAGATGCAAATATGTTGATAAATCTTTTTTATTCAACGTATTCCAGAATTACTGAACACATACCTGCGTCGGGCTACATGTATCAAAAAAGGTTCTCAGGTCTTTTAGCGAGTGCTTATGCCGACTGGTATGAAGGTTTGTTCGGTACCATCTCCAAGCCAACGGTACCAGCCCGCCCTAATCGAGAATCTGGCATGAATGCTCCGGGCGAGTGTAAGGAAAATACTCAAATGCCAAAATCTGGGCAACAAAGAAGAAACGAGAAGTCAAAAAGAGGGCTAATAATATAAGAAAAACATACAGAGTGTTCTTCGCATTACCTCCAGAATGTAATAGGTCCGCTGAGTTTATAGTGACCTTCCGACTCAGACCCGACTCAGAT